AACTGAGACACAAACATAATGTCATACTGTTCAGTTTCAGTACTAGGTGCATTCTGTTTGAGACTACAGGTAGGAATCCTTCAGTCTAAGGTGCTGAGCTATCAGATTTGTAATCAACAGGCTGGTAATTTAGTGAGGCGTGATTGTCTCAGTCTTTATTCAGTGGTTATGTTTGAGATTTAACAAAGCGTGAGACTGGGTCATGTCTCTATGCTGCACATTCTCAGCTACAGGCCTTTTGTTCTGCAATCCTTTGTGGAGTCTGCCCCGGATTCATTGAAACTCTCCACTGCTGAGTGAGCTGAAGGAGCTGCTTTTCTGTCACACACCCTTATTCCCTCCCTTAACGCACACACACATATGTATATACACACAAAGCCTGAAGCTCTGCCAGCATTTCGTGGGATAATCTACCTTCCTGAAGGTTTGCTAAAGCACCCTTCCCTCCCTCCTTTCCCACAAGCCCACTTTTCCTCCTCCTCCCTCCTCTCTCCTCTCACCTCCTCCTCGTCCTTATCGGCCCCAGTGTAAGCAGCGTGTGGTTTCCTGCCAAGTTCTGGGAGCCATGAGCAGCCTCTCCAAACAGGAACATGCATGAAGACATTCCACTGCTGAAGGAAGCGGTGTCTTCAGCCGCTCTCCCCCACTTTTCCAATTCCCTATAGACGCTTTCACATATCCCACACAGCTCCGCCAGGGCTTGACCACTGGACAATCAGCACACATGAACACATACAAATGTGCACAAACACACAAGCTTACAGCCATTCAGCACATCTATGGACATGGAAATGAAGATGGCTGTGAGGCTGTGTGCGTGAGAAAGATTCAAGCAGGAGTAGTAGGAAAAAAAGTGTGTGAGGGGCTACCTATGAGAGAGGGGGGTGCGCGAGTCCATAAAAGCAGTTTAATATTAATTTATTCAAGAAATCGAGCATCAGCTTCATGTGCCATCTCATCACAGTTTTGGTTTTGGAGCAGAGGTCTAATTCGGAAGACTTGTCTTCAGTGCGCTTACTCACTGCACTTATACGTAAGTTGTTGGAGAGTTTCTTCTTCAGTATGATTTTATTTTTGGAAATCCACGGAAGCTTTAGTTGAAAAGCAAGCATCACAGTGAAGAGTACTGAGAGAGCAGCTGGAGGGCTGTTACCTGCCTGTTAGAAGAAAACATTTGTTTAACACCGCAGGAGCACTCTTGGAAACTAGACTGCAGGTCTGGGTAAAAGCAAAACAAAAATGGCAAAGCTACTCTGTTCATTTAGATAAACGTGGTGAGATATAAAGAAAAAGAACAAAAGGCAGACTCACACTCACATCATCTGCGGGGGAAAGGGCAAGTAAGTCTAGCTGTGGTAACGCAGTAGAACTAGAACACACAGAAATGCCATCTGGGTGTCATCACGACAAAGAAAGATGACTAAATGACAAAGGCAGCAGCATCACTGTGAGGTAAAAATAAACTGTGTAAGCAGGGGGCACGAGAGGATGAAAACAGATAGTTTTTCTGAACAAAAGTCAAACAGAAATTAGTATTCAGGCAAGCAAACGAAGCACAAAAGGAGGCTTTAAATCATTTTCGTGTTTTCTCTTCTGGCATGTGAGGCGTATTGACTAGGGAATTCTGTGAGAGATGATTCATCACAAGTCAGTTTTCTCCTCTATGTGTATGGATCAGTGCCAGAGAGAGAGAGGGAAACAGAGGGAGAGAGAGAGAGAGAGAGGATGTGCTTTTAATCTGCTGTCCCACTGTCTTTTGATCAGCCTGTGTCCTGCTCTTCACATCTTATCTCCACGTTTCACTTTCTGAATGTTTTTAGGGAACAAGTAAACTGAGCAAAATGGCCCATACAGAGATGTTGAGGAAGTGATTTCTTTTCTCCTTTCCTGGGAGGTTGTGCTCACTAGCGATGTATACAGCACAGCAGCTTTTTGTGGGCCCACATCAGTGATTCAGTGCCATATTGAAATTACACAGTGGGCTCTTCTGGTGAAATTACAGAGTTTTGAAATTCAGGGCAAATGTTGGATGCTCAATACAAGCTGGAGTACTTGAAGCAAGAAGACTTGTATTGAAGATGTTAAAAAATTTGTCCTTCACTGTGTTTAATTGCTACATATTGAAGTTTCTTGTCATTTACTGCTCAAACTTTGAGTAGAACATTTCATTTGTTTTCATTCTGCCAGTAAAGTCTGCAAGAGTGTCACTGATGATGACAACTGGGTGCTGCTCAAGACCAGATTTATGCTTCAGTTTAAACCCACTTTAAACAAACAAGGTGTATTGGATGAATCTGTCATACTGCACCTGGCTAAGCAAGAGGAGGTAAGAAAGAAGACAGGGTTTAAGCTTCTTTCTGGTGAAATTGGTTTTTTTTTTTGTTTGCTTGTTTTTCATTCTTTACACGACTCTTTCTGCCATGTGCATATCAGGAGGAGCCTGAAAATGTAAAATGTATCCCTATATTTTGTCAGCGTCATCTCTGTGATGGCCAGCTTTCACCGCACCTTCAAGTGTGGCCATTAACTGTGAGCACTTTTGATTTTCAAGAAAGTCAAACTAAACGGCATATAAATCAGTTCTTTTTTAGCATCAGCAGATAACATTTGGATAACATTTATCCTTTCTACGCACTTATTCCTGTGTTGGCACTTTACAGTATGTTGGCATTAGACATAATTTGGGAGGTGTGGAATTGTTCAAAATGAAGATGTTGTGCTGTGTATATCCCGTCACACTGTGATAATGATAAGCATATCAGCTACTGCAGAGACTGACCCTGATTTCTCCAAAAACTAGACATTCCTCAGCTTTTATACATTCATGCCTACAGGCAGTACAACTTCAATAATCTACTGTCAGACACTGAGCAGCCCTCTGGTGTTATTGGAATTCAAGGCTGCGGTGTGCTTCAAACTAAATGTTGTTTGAGATGATGGATGCAGTTGGATTGAGTCAGAATGGTTTGTACATAACAGTCTGACAGTGAGTCACACTTTCTTTGAGTCTGCTGGAATTAAACGTTACAGTTTTGCACATTCATGATTGAAATGATTGTCGTCCACCTCTGCACTGTAGGCCTTTCCTCATGTCATGCTGTTCAAACTCACCTCTCATAAATAATGAATGAGGGCTAACCGTTTGTCTTGTGAAGTCGTCTGTGAGCAACTTTAGGCAAGCTGCTCTCAGGAAATACGTGTAAAAACTTCCTTTCATGTACTCTTCTATAAATCTACAAGTCTCCAAAGATATTGTGGACTTTCTAAAAATAATTTGGTACCTACATCCTACCAGTAAATACAAATGAATTCCACTTATCACACACACTCCAAGTGGGTGCTGTATAACTTACAAGTTTAAAAAAAAGCACTGTTTTCCCAGAAACTCATTATACAACCAGCAAAGCAGGGCTTAACGTTGTTTTGACTGAATTGTAGTTATCGGTAGGCCACCATGATGAAGCTCAATTAGAGCAGCATGCTATGAGCTAAGCTGAGGTAATCACTGGGCGGAGGGCAGACCTATGTAGAGGCTTGAATATTCACTCTGAACAGAAAAAGCGATGGATTCACAAAAGGACCTGGAGCCGTGGAGAGCAGTTAATGAGCCTACATGATTCACGCTTGGTCTCCCCTAGAGAGAGCCTTGTCCTGGGCAAAGCGGAGGCGCGCAAGAGGTGCAATGTTTGCTCCAACACATTCCATGACGCAGCCTGTCAGAGTGAGGACGGTAAGAAGGGGCAATTAAAAGTTGCTTTTGGAAATGCAGGGTGAATGAAAGTCTTCTGTGTCTTATTAGAATCTTGAATCAATCCAGAACCTGTGGGCATATTTATTTCTGTAAACAGAGGAGGACAATGTGCCCAGCAAGGCTGTATCATGCCTATTTACTCTGATGCCTGTGCAAAAAAAAATACTTTTTAATGGGTAATGCTGTTCAGTATTCACACTGAAAGACAACTGTTAATTTGTGCAATTTCTATGTAAAATTACTTTTCTGACAATTTTACATGGGATAAAACTGTCTGTCCACACACAGCTACTACAAACCCAGATAAGAAAAAGTTGGGATGGTATCCCTCCATCCAGTATGTATACCACTTAACCTAACGAGGGCCGTAAAGGGCTGGAGCCAATCCCAGCTGACATTGGGGAAGAGGCAGGGTCTACCCTGGACAGGTTGCCAGTCTGTCACAGGGCTGACACTTAAAGACAGACAGTAAGGACAGTATGGAAAATCAAAATTAAAACTAAAAATAGTGATTTGTAAATCCTCTGTGTCCTGTATTACACTGAAAATAATACAGCAGCATATTGTTTGATATGATATATCATCAATTTTATTCTTTGTTCAGAATAAACATTCACTTCAATTTTGATGCCTGCAACACATTCCAAAAAATGTTGGCAGATGCCTGCAACACATTCCAAAAAAGCCGGCACAATTGCATTTTGGGACCAGTAATGAGGTAAAATAATGAAATGATGATTCCATTTGAAACAGGTGATATCAACATATGACTACATCATGATTTACAAAAGTACAAAAGTGGCATCCAGGAAAGGCGAAGCCCTTTAGGAGCAAAGCTGTGAAGAGTATGTTTGATATGACTGTCAAAAGAATTTCCCTGTCTTTCATCCATAATTCTGTAACACTCATTCTTTATAACAAAAAACGTGTAAATTGTCATAAATAAGCAGGAATATGGCTGTGCTTAGCAACACATAAACGGAAATTTAAAAAATAAGACTTTTTTAAATTAGAGCCCCACCAGTTGTTGTATTTTGTTCTACCTATTTTCTCTCTTGTGAAGTACTTTACATTTTTAAATATGCATTTGTTTTACTACAGTACTAAATACTCTATAAATAAATATTGTCGTATTGTATTGTTGTAACCTTTATTCGTGTGTATGAGTTGAAGTAATGCCTGTCAAATATCTCTAGTAATTACTAAAATAGCTACTAAATATCCATCCAGACTTTTAAACCGAGCCGCGCTCTGATTGGCTGGGTTGCGGTCACGTGGGGTAGTGCAGTCAGTCGCTGTGCCGTGCCTCGAGCCAGCGCTGAGTGGAGCCTGTCTGCCAACAGCTTCAGCAGCGGCTCTATCGGGATCCTACTAAATTCACTGACAATTAAAGGAGGCCCCTTTTTCTTCTTATTTACGAGGACTATTCTTCACCATGGGCGACAAAAAGAGCCCTACTAGGTAATGCGATCGCCCATTGTCGAATTATAGTTGTTTTGTGCGTTTTGGGCTCGTTATTTGGATGCGTTTCCCTCTCACAGGGATCGTTTCTCCTTTTTTCAGTTGGTATGCCACAGCTAGCTAGAATAGTGCAGTCACTATGGCGGCTTCTCACTCCCTACAACCCAGTCACTTAACAGACAAAGGGAAAATTTTCAGAGGATACGCCTGGCATTCCCTGAAACGCTCTTTCGCGAAGCCTGGTGGAGGGTCATTGTCGAAATGGACACAGTTTGATATTGGTTTTGTTAGCCGACATGCTAAGCTTCGATGCCGAAATTTGTAGCAACGCTTGCCTGCCCGCTAGCCTAGCTGGCGATACAATCGGACGGTGTGGATAGTCGCCCGCTTCGCCGCTGTGGTGATTTATTAACCGAGGACCTCTACTTGCCGGGACTCGAACCCAATATTAAAGACCACTCCGCCGTGCTTTGTGCCTCACTGAATAGCTCGTATATTACACAACGCGTTGTGTTTGTCATAGTCTCCTTTTTCATTAATTTGCTGAATATGTTGCTGGTATTTCCAAAACTAACTTGACCTTAATATTTGTCTCGTTTGTAAGGCCAAAAAGACAAGCCAAACAGACAGCTGACGACGGCTACTGGGACTGTAGCGTCTGCACCTTCAGGAACACCGCCGAGGCTTTTAAATGCAGCATCTGCGATGTGAGGAAGGGCACATCCACAAGGTAACGTAGCGCTCTCTCTCCCCCTCTCCCTGTGTGAGCGTCTCGTTTTTCCCCTGCTCGACTGGCTGCTGCAGCAGCATTGCATCGCAGTTTATGGAAATGACAACTTTGATCGACAGCCTATTTGTCTGTGAGCGAACGAGGACTTGATGGACAATCTCACAAACATCTTCTGCAGCTGTCTGGATTTCCCGTACTTTCTCATCTTATGCAGCGAGCGTTGCAGTGCTTGTATGCATTTGTCTGGGTAGGCTGGCTGCTTCACTAGCTGGGGGGCATACTTCATATGATAACTGTACAGCTACAGTGCGTCAACAGAGCAACAGCTAAAGGGTTACTTTTTTTGGCGGGTTGTGTGTATTTCACCTACCTGTAGGATTGCTGAGGGTCTATGAATGTCCTGACAGGCGAGATATATTCTGGATGAGGTGGGTGTACATCAAGGAGATGAGTAATATAATAAAATTCTTGGGTTCTTAAGTGGTTCTAATTAGAATTGTAAAAAGTCCAGATGCATTCTTAATCTCTTAATCTATCAGACTTTCTGTGTGCCATGTAGTTTAAGACAGTGTCATTTTATGCCCAACCTGGTGTTACGCTGATGCTGTCTAGAGGAAGTCCACCAATTTTTCTCCAATGTTCCAAAAATAAACCTTTTTGGCTATGATTAATCATTTCCAAAACTCAGTCTGCCACAGACTTTCTTTGCTCATGAAACTGTTTACAAGGGAATTCACTCTCGTTTGTTTACAGAAAAATTCTCCAGATTAACCACATCAGCATTTATAGTAACAGGCTTGTATGTCACTGAGTTCCCCTGAGTTTAACCCAGAACTATTTTAGTGATGTCATCAGAAGACAACAGCTTAATGGAAACTAAGATGAAATCACTCTGACACTTTAACATAACAGGATTCCCTTTTGGTTTTGTGTATAGCGATGTCTTTCTTTTCTGGGGAATGTTTTTGCATGTGCCACAGAATGAGTTTGTTTGCTCATGTCATCAGTTGCATGATGAGGTGGACAGATAGATGAGTCATTTGTGGGTTTGTTGACACGTTCCCTGCACTCTAACCTTTCCAGCTGCAGGTTTTACAATGAGTGGCTCGGCTGACACCCATAGCACACCACAAACGGGGAGAGCACGCTTGATGCTGGTTTACTGACAATCCAAAAGATCAAGTTCAACCTTACTTGTCTGGATCCCCTCCCCCATGATCATCTCCCAGCAGCATGTAGCTTAAGACCACAGCTGATGATGCACGCTGTGCGAAAGCAGGAAGCGGAGACAAGCATGCCGTAGCCATCCTGCCACTGTGTTTTGGCAACAGCCCAGTTGTCTCTATTTGGTAAATGGTATCACGTGAGTAGCTGTCATACATTCCTGTTTGATCTGAATAGTTAACCTTAGATTAATGCAGTTGTATTGTTGCGGGGCTGCTTGTTATTCTAATGAGTACTAATTAGCTGTCTTTTCTTCACTGTTTGATGCATTCCAGCAAAGCAGGGGATGAAGCAACATGCTCTTAGCTAAATGATTCCCACTTAAGGCAGTGTGTGGATGGTTTTCTTACTGCTTTTATGTGAGGTTTTGCTTTGAATGTGCCTTTATGCATGAGGGCATGTGTTCACTAGAGTTCCCCTCTGCTGGACAGTCTCAAAACACCACTTTTCTCGACATTGAAATAATCTATTTGTGTTCACTACCAGAGATACTGGTCTGTGTAATCATGGTCATATGATTATACTTGACATGTTTGCAGTGGCTTGTTTTGTTTGATGTGAATGTGTGGGCACTCCTTCCATGTGTCCTGGGACAAAGGTCAGCCAGTGTTGACTGTACTAAGGAGAAGGTGGATGCAATATCACAGTAAATTTCACATGCCTCCATATATGCTGAAAAACTGCTGATACAACAGGTAGCAGTCAGCAGACCATAGCACAACGATGTGGTTGCTAGTTGCAGTTGGAGTCGTACAGAATCTACTTACCTGTCCTGAGCAAAATTCAGGAAGAGATTAATATTTCCATCTGCTAACACCTGACACCTCATCTCTCACAGTCAGCACAGAGTCACTGAGACACCAGCTGTTTCCACAGGTGCTGAGGGAGAATACAAAATTAACATGATCTATAGTGATTGACAGACAGTAGCTTACACTCCAGCAAGGGTTGAATTACACTTTGTCCCATGTCAGTGGTACTAGGTAACCTAGGTAACAGTGGGTCATGCAGCTCTTATTTGTGTTAATGGAAGCAAGAATGTGTTAACAAGAGCCGTGGCATCAGCATGCAGGGAGAGGCCCAGTTCTCCCCAGCAGAGCGCAGCCTAAGGAACCTGTTGACCCAGTCCAGTGATGTAACATGATACCCAGGCAGGCTAAATCGAGCCTCTGCCACTCTGACTCTTAAACAAGAAAGCACTCTGCTTTTTACACCTGACCTCGCTGCAAATCTACAAGTCCAAGTAGTCTAAGTGTTCAGTCTCTGCATTCAGTACCTGTTTCTTAGGTAACTGGAGAAGGGCTTGCATTGGAATCCCATATGAGGTGTGTGTGCTATCATATTTAAATGTTTCTGGTATCTGAACCTGATCACTGTGTGAACGTCACACCATGTTACTGAACATCAGTTTGCTTGTGGTGGCGTTTGTATGTACCTCTGGCTGCCCTGGAGATTCCATAAGGAGCCCTCTAAGGGCAGAAACACATCAAGCAGACAGTTGACCGCTGGCCACGGTTGGGCCATTAGTGAGCGTCTGTTGTTGCTCATCCTCCCAGTGTGTCTTTCACCGTTGGCACTAGTCGGTCCATATTGGTGGCTTTTCATTCTCTGTTGTTGCTCATCCTCCCAGTGTGTCACTCACCGTTGGCACTAGTCGGTGCATATTGGTGGCTTTTCATTCGATTTGACATGTTGAATCGGTGTTGGTGGTCCGGCCTTGTTGGTAAGAGAGACCATTCTGATTGGCTGTTGAGCTTAGCGAATCAGTGCATGAGGAGAGAGTTTTGGAAAAGCCCCTTCAGCCTGTTGCTGTAGCATCCATGATTTCACCCATTTAGTGCAGTTTCTCCTTATTTTTCACCTCCACAATCTCCCTTCAGTTTCCACAACCAAAAGACCAAGGACAGAGAACGGAAGCACCATTTGCAGCTTCTTATCAGCTAAGCAGCTATAAACACCAGCTGTTTTAAACAACAGCTGCTTTGTTTATAGCTTGTATTTCCTCTGTCTAGCTCTTCTTTCTTTCCTTTTTGAATGGTGAATACAGATACCACCACCTACTGGTAGGGGAAGTTATTTTTGTCATGCAGGCACAGAATATACGTGCTAGTCAGCCCTTGACTGTAGCCTTGCGGTGTGTTCAAGTGTTACTTTTTCAACCTGACTGGTCCAGACAAAGCTGGTGCGAGGTGACGCAGCAGTCGGCCTATGTTGGCGCTAGTACTTTCATGCCAGCTTGGTGTGTTTCTGCCCTAAAGTTGAATGGTGGTGGGATCACAGGATGTCTTGAGGTACCTAACTGTTAGGCTGTTGTCTGTGCAGGGTTGCTGTGTTGTTAACAATATCAAGTAGCTTTCATCTGTACTTTATATAAAGTGGAACAAATGGATGTCTCCCACTTTTTAGTAAATTGTTGTGTTCTGACTTAGCTAAATAAACTAACTTAAAATTAGTTTGAAGCTCAGAAGGCTTCAGAAATACAGAACCTACACCATTACGCTCTGTCTACACTGTAACAGTTTCATCCAAGTTTTTGAGATGTGTGTCTCCCATAACCAATACACTGTTTTAATCAATCCAGCTCTCTACACTACCTGTGTGTTACTGTGCTTTACGCACATAACCATGACCTGTAGCATATTTTTATGCTTCAAGTGTATTTCTTTCAGGGCTGCTTGTATCCATGAAATCCACCAAAACAAAGCTCAATAGTTCCACCCACAATACAGAAATACGTCAAGTAAAGCCAGTCACTAATTTTTACTAGAATTACACCAACATAAAAAAAAAATCTAGTAAACACTGCTAAAACACATGATCTATTATTTTTACATCAGTTGTACGGAAGATACAGTTCTTTTTAAAGGGTTGTGTGTGTATTTTTGTTTTCTTGTTTTACCATGGCTTTCGTGGTTCATTTCTGGCTAGGACAGAAAAGTGTTGCATATTCAGGCATTTCAAATGCTCCTCAGCCAACTTAACACCCATCCCCCATGCCACTTCGTTATTGGCTGCAGCAGAGCGCTTCCAGTGCACGAGTGAACACACGCCCGGTATGGACACGAACGAGTCTTGCGCTGCACACGATAACCTTTTGGTGTATACACGGCATTGCCACTGATACACTATGCAAACAACAGTATGCGATATCGGGGATTGTTGATATAGATGTCAAAATATAAAGCCGGTAGAAAATAATCTTTAAAAAAGTGTCCTTTCTATAAATACTTAAACATAAGTTGAACAGAGATCAGAGCAAATGGATAAGTTTCAGTGTTCTAGTGTTGCATTTAACATACAGTAAAAGAGAAAATGGATAGAGGTCAAATACTGATTTCAGTGGGTGGATTAGAAACTACTTTGAAGAACAAACCCCATCTGTCAAAAGTAATCTTGATTGGCAGTGTGAAATATGCTATGAAAGTGTCACTCTTACATACTAGCTCATTTGAATGAAATCGAATGAAAATGACAACTTTTTGCACTTGATTTGTGTTCTGAGTCTGTCACCAGGCTGCTTATAGATTTACAGTGGAAAGTATTTAGTCTACTCAGGTAAGGCCATGCTATGAGTCTGATTTTATTTTTTGTAGACTGATATTATACCATCCTGGTCACTGTGACAAAGTTAACTACAGACAGTTACTATGATTTGTTAGTGAGTCTGTCGATATTTACAGATGCTAATGTGCTTAAATAAATGGGTTTTGCACAAGTCTCTAATAAGGCCATATGAAAAACCTATAAATCCATACATGATGATTGTCAGTGGCAGA